CTCGTGAGATTTAACGCCTCCAAAACACAAGCGTGTCTTTTTACCGCTAAAAGGAGCCCGCTCACATTGGCTCCTACTTTCCGGAATGTATCCTTAGATTACATTAACCGCCTTCAGTTGTTAGGGATTGAATTTTCTCCGAACCTAAACTATAGGCGATTCATTGAGTCCAGAGCCAAAGCAGCCGCAAGAAAAGTTGATGTCCTTGCAAGGGTGCGACGGTACTTCACGCCGGGGTAGCTTCTTACCTTATATAAAGCGCAAGTCGTCCGGTCGTGCATGGAGTACTGCTGTCACATATGGGCTGGTGCTGCAAAATGCCACCTGGCAGCATTGGGCTCAGTGGAGAGACGTGCTAAGAGGCTCATTGGAGACCTTGATTTGGTTGAAACCAATCTTGTCAGCCTCAAGCACAGGCGTAGAGTAGCCAGTCTCTCGGTATTCTATAGGATACATTTCGGTGAGTGTGGAATGTGGGAATTTGCAGGAATTAGACGCCTTAATTCCTCCCTCTCCTTTCCACCATCGGACAACCAGACGGTTGGCGGGTCTACATCCCTTTGTTGTCGATATTCCACGCATTAGAACCAAATGGTTTGCTTCGTCTTTTGTAATGCGTACAGCAAAGGAGTGGAATAATTTGCCGGCATCTATCTTTCCGTCCGAATACAACCTACTCGGCTTTTGTTACGATAAGACAGTGCGATTTACCATCTAAGGCTGCATCACCACTTACCACCATGTGGGATTGTGGTCAAGCACTGGCTTATAAAAAGTAAAAAAAAATATTTTACTGGCGATCCACTCCGGCTTCGCACGGTTGATTTCTGGATCTAAACCATTCTATAATCAACTGTATCACACACAAAATTTGATCAAGATCAAACCTTCAGCGAATACCGTTTCGTGATTCTGAGTATAAGGTACGTGACCCTCGTCGACACACTTCCAATCTTTACAACTTTGTTAACGAGAGACTTCTGGACTATATATCTGACACCTCCTTGGGACAGATGGTCGCCCTCCCGGTGATAGAATAAGTTGCCGGATTCGAGGATTACCGTGTCCTCCCCCTCTCTTCGGACCTCGGATAATCTTAAAATATTAAGTTAATTTATTAAGAATTAATAAATCTATAATATTCCGGCGCAACTTGTCTATCTCTTCTTCCAGCTCCAGGATCTTCTCGTCAGACCTCAGGGTGCGTGCGTTATAAGTTGCCAGGTCAAGTTGTCGTAGGTGGCAACCGAACATTCACCGGAGATCCTTAGCACCCCCTGCCCCGCCGTGGTCGCTAATACACAGGTTTTAAGATGAACATGGAGCAAACAGAATCATGTTTAACGTCCATGTCACACCTATGCCGGTAGTTGTTGGGAACACTAAGCTCGAAGCTGTTGACGAATATGTTTACCTGGGACAAATAGTCCGACTAGGTAAGTCCAACTTCGACCGAGAGTTCAATCGACGGATTCAACTCGGCTGGGCAGCGTTCTGGAGATTACGACACATCTTCTCGTCAAGCATACCTCAAAACCTCAAAACTACATTGTATAACCAGTGCGTATTGCCAGTGATGACCTATGGATCTGAGACGTGATGCTTCACTGCTGGCCGTATGAGGAAGCTCAAAGTCGCTCAGCGAGCTATGGAGAAGGCAATGATCGGCGTTTCTTTGCATGATAGACTTAAAAACGAAGATATCCACAGTAGAACCAGAGTAAACGACATAGTCCAAAGAGTTAGTATGCTGAAGTGGCAATGGGTCGGCCATATAGCTTGAAGAACCGACAACTGATGGGGAAGAAAGGTTCTCGAGTGGCAGCTTCGTATTGGCAGGCGAAGTGTAGGGCGTCCACCCACCAGGAGTGTGGACCTGGTAAGACATGCAGGAAGTCAATGGATGCAGGTGGCTCGGGACCGTGCTTTGTGGCATTCCTTGGGAGAGGCCTGTTCAGCAGTGGACTTGTAAAGGGCTGTATTGATGATGATGATGAATGTGTAATATTCGCGTAGGAAGTCATAATTAATTACAACTAATCATAAATAAAATATAGCAAAATATCAAGATTACGCTGACGATCGCTGTCTCCCAAAATTTGTATTGTTGAACCGACTTAGCTATCATCATTCTTTATTCTATATTTAAACCTCAACATGAACTATTGAATTTTTATTATAATGTGTATTAAGAGTCGTTGCAGTGTCCTAATAAGGTTGAATATTTGATGGTTCATAATTTACTCTCATTCCATGAGACGAAAGCAGACCTATAAATCAAAGACATGTTTGAGATGAGACCGTTCCGCGCGTCTTTGTAATTGCAACAAAAACACACGGTGCGCGATTTTTGAGAACGTTGGCAAATTTCAACATAATTTTGTTAGTGTGCGTGTAAACGCTAAGTTTTGTCTTAAATTGATTTACTCATGATTTTGACGGTGACCTAAGTCAACGTTAAAAAGATAAATTCAAAGATTTGCCGGCACATACATGAGCCCTATTGTAAAAAATCTAAAGATAATATAAACAAAGGGATTTGTTAGCAGGTAGGTCATAGTTGTTGGCCGGGAACTGATTAGCGAAGCCAAGCAGATCTCTCAATGGCATGGAGCCCGCTCGCTTCTCGGGTGCGTCATAAATTTCCATTGATTGGATTAATCTGATTTGGATGTCAATTTTGCAAGCAAAGTGCAGGCTCTTTATAAGAAAATACAATCATGTATCGTTTGAGGCTTTATATATTCTTGTTCCATGCATAATAACGAATATATTATAACGTTAAGGCGTATATCGTTTGCTTTTGCTTGCAAATGTTATTTTTATTATTTGTCCCAGACGAAATCGTTAAGGAAACAAAGATTTATGCGTTCATCATTTTGTCTTATTAAAAATGATGGCTTAGCCGTTCATCTTCCTTTGAAAGCAGAATGCAAATTCTCCGACTGCGAATCGGCGTGGTCATGTTTTGGACTGATTTAAATGGGATGGGTGTAATATACAATGTTAAAAAAGCAGATTTATATGAATGCATAAGTATTCTAGTCGTTTCTAATGCAGCTCCTAATGCATGCGACCTCACGCTGTTTATAAAAAGTGGGAATTAAAACAGGAAGCCTGCGCTAGTCATACCGTTTACATCCCGTATACGTACTGGGATATTGAATGTTACCTGTTAGTTTGCTTGAGCCTGTCCAGTTATTGACATTTGATGCCATCATATTTTTTGTGCATATTAAAGTTTAGTCATAGACTATAAAATGTACATAGTTCTTATATATTTTTTAAATAACGACTTCTTTTAGAAATCTAAGGTCTACCAAACATGAAGATTTGTCGCCGTTTTCTAAAATACGGCTCTGACAAGCTGGATTTGTCCGTTGTGGAGAGAGTTGTGGGTCAACAATTTTAAGAGCAATGTTTCCAACATATGCGTCGTTGTGAGACAGTATTGCGGTCGTAGATATTCTGCCCAAATAAGATGATTGATATTTTAGCCTTTTTTTGATGTTGAAACCATTTTCTTTCTTATGCGGTAGCTTGAAAACTTATTTCACAATGTAGCGATGAATAATTTTGGGATATAACGGCATCTTATTTTACACATTTTTGCAGTTAGGTAGATTTCGCAGTCTTATTCTGTATTCGGATAGATTATATAGTCAGCCCTGAATAGTATACAGCTCAAAATGGGCATCAAAAAGCCTGGCGAGCGAATTGGCAATCACAGAAAAGAACGTAGCGGTTTTTACGTGGTAGAGCCATGCTGCAGCTATATTAGTAGTATAGTTGTAGCACGAATGGGTGGACCGGGGAAGGACCACGCTCTCACAGAATACCAGCGTAAAATAGCAGGAATGTAGAGAACCGGAGACCCTTATTACTGGACGTGAGGCATTCCATCTTAGTTCCCACGAGTGACAACGCATCTGCATTTTGATTTGTAATAGATGTAGATGTCTATGGGCCGCAGCAACCACTTACCATCAGGTGGACTGTGTGCTCGTTTGTCACCCTTATCCTATAAAAAAAGAACAGATATCTCATACCTTTAAGCATGGATTAGAACCTGAGACCTCATGATTACCTCCACTAGACCAACGAGGCAGTAAGATGAATATAATTATTACGGATCGCCGTAATGCCGTGCGAAAAATGGAATAAAACGCGCTGGTCTTGCTTTTAACTGGAGGCAAGCGGCGGTGAGGAGGAACTTGTACTTTTTCTTTTCTTGCTGGTGCCTTTTCGGTGGCTGGAGAGCGACTGCTGACCCTAGCGGCCGGCCCGTCTTTTATATGATTTGGCCGCTGCTGGCCAGCGGACCCTTGCCTCACCCCCGCGCCTATCTTTATTTATTTAATAACCTTACAAACTAATAAACATAATTCACTATATAATATTCTTATAACTACTTGTTAGACTAGGGTGTACATATCAATATTTTTACTTATTTACAGGTTTACATTATAATTTTCAGCTGCTTTAGGCGGAGAATCCTTCCCCCCGCCTCAGCACTATAAATATAAAACGTCGTGGCGCGGTGCGCGTGGCTTCATTTGCTCCGCGGCCGCGTCACGATAACATGCTCTTTGGTTACACTACTACTATTATTTTATGTGCCTAACGGCCTAATATATTTATTATATAATAAAGCAAACATTTATTATATTTAACAATTACAGTTTTCATTAGAAGACTATGCTAACTCTCCCTGTTCATACGGTGCCTTTATTTGGGAGAGTTATTGCACAGTTACAACTCAACCTTAAACTTAGTTATAATACAATCATTATTTTTTATCGTTCGATACAAGTAATACAATTATTTACACAAATTATAATTTAAATTCAACATAAGGTTGCGCTAGTCCCGCCGTATAACCCTTGCTAGTTGTCGAACCAGAGGCGTGGCCTGATAATTACACCGTCGTCATGGCTCCGCCCACCGCTCCTAGGTTGTTCAACTAGCGCCGGTTACAATAAGCATTTTCTTTCGTTTGTTTAATATTGTTGCGTCGTGCACATTCTCCCGCCGTCGCCACGCTGCGATCCCTCTGGTAGCACGACGATCTTCTTCGTTGGTCTTCTTAGTATGTGCCCACTGCCGGTGGTTACGTCCACTACTCGTACCTCTCCGTCGACGCCAGGATATACCTTACTTATTTTCCCTCTGGGCCAGGTGTTGCGTGGTAGATTGGAGTCACAAATGATGACTAGGTCTCCAATCTTCGGCGATACTCCTATGCTGCTGGGCTCCCGCCGGTGTTGGAGTAGGGGCAGGTATTCTTTAACCCATCTTCTCCAAAACACGTCGGCTAGGGCTTGAGCTCGTTTCCATTGCTGGCGGGCCGTCACGTCATTCTTGCTGAAGTGTCCCGGCGCAGGTACGTGCGAGTTGGGACCGATGAGGATGTGATTCGGCGTGATGGCTTCAGGGTCTCCTGGGTCGACTGAGACGTGTGTGAGAGGTCTGGAGTTTACAGTATTTTCGACCTCGGCGAGCAGGGTCCCCAATGTTTCGTCGCTGGGATAGCGCTCGTTGAGGGTGACGCGTAGGGCTTCTTTTACGGAGCGAACCATTCGCTCCCATACGCCGCCCATGAACGGTGCTGATGGCGGTATGTACTTCCACACAATCTGTTGACACGTGGTTTCGTGCTCGAGGGCTGCAAGTGCTGCTTCGGCCATCTCCTTGTCTGCTGCCTTGAAGCACGTAGCGTTGTCACTCCATATTTCTTTTGGGCATCCTCTTCTGCTCATAAAACGCCTAAGTGCCGACACGGCTGAGTCTGCGCTCAACGAGTGGGCTACTTCTATGTGTATTGCTCGCGACGTCATGCAGGTAAATAACGCGCCATAGCGCTTTTCGCGATGTCGTCCCACTGTGACTTCTATTGGCCCGAAGTAGTCTAGTCCGGTGTATGTGAACGGACGTGCGTGATGAGCGAGGCGTGCGGACGGCAGGTTTCCTGTAGACGGTGATGCAGGCTTGGCTTTTCTTAGACGGCACGGCAGGCATCCTTTGACGACAGTTTTCACTACTGGACGTATTTTTCTTACGTACAATCTCTGTCTTAATTCATTCACAACTGTTTCTACGCCTCCGTGATGCAGCCTCTCGTGTACGTGTGCTATGTACAGGCGAGTGTATGCGTGCTTCCCGTCTAATATGGGAGGGTCGTACATGTCGTCCTCCACTTCTGATGCCGCTTTTATTCGACCTCTGAGGCGTAGGGTCCCCTCTTCATCAATGTATGTGCTCAGGTGGCCTAGTTTGTCGTCGCCTCCCGGAACATTTCCGCTGGTGATTCTCTTGAGCTCCTTCGTGAAGCTTTCCCGCTGACTGGCTTGCACCCACAGTTGTTCGGCTCTCATATGATAAGCGGCCGGTATTCCTACAAGCGATGAGGCAGTAGGAGTCGCCTTTTTCTCCTTGGCGGGGGTGTTGCGTTTGTTTGTTCTCTGCCAGCCAGGGTCGCTACCTTGTCTTGCTTTGTTGCGTTTACGCCCAGCCTTCACTACGTGCTTGTTTGGTCTGCACATGTCGATGAATAGGAGGACTCTCGCTGTCGCCCTTATGAGCCGAATCCATTTAGAAAATCTTCCTATCTGTGGAAGATGTGTTGTTGTCGAGTCTTCACTTTTAACAGCGATGTTACATATTTCTCGCTCTTCCCCGGTGTCATATTGTGTCGTTTTCTCTTCCTGCGGCCATTCTGCCGGTGGACGCTGCAGAAACGGGGGCCCTCGGAACCATCGGTGCGACTCGTCGAACCCTTCTGGTGTGGCTCGGGTTGCGTCGTCTGCCACGTTTTCTTTAGACGGTAGCCAACGCCATTCGTTCTTTTTGGTCGTATCTTCTATCTCCGCCAGGCGATGAGCGACGAAAGCTTTGTACGCGCGAGGCTCCGATCTTATCCACACCAGTGCAGTACGGGAGTCGCACCAGTATGTCTTGCCTGCTATGTCGCCATCGTGTTCATCGATCACGGTCTGCGCAAGACGAGCTCCCAGCAGTGCCGCTTGTAACTCGAGCCGTGGTATGGAAACTGGTTTCAGTGGTGTTACGCGGCTCTTGGCGGCGGCCAATGATATGTTAACGCTGCCGTCTGCTCGCTCCGTTCTCCAATACACTGCTGCTGCGTAGGCCTCCTCGCTTGCGTCGACGAATGTGTGTAGTTGGCGCGTCGACACCGGGTTGTAATCGTAGCATCGCGGTATTCTTAGTTGTTCTATGGCGTTAAGTGAAGTAATCCAGCCTTCCCATTTTTCTTTTAATTCTGTTGGCAGAGGGTCGTCCCAGTCCGCCTTGTAACGCCATGTGTCTTGAAATATTCTCTTCGCTGGGGTGGTCACCGGTGATATTAACCCCAGCGGATCAAATAATGCCATTATGACGCTCAACGCTTCTCGTTTAGTTGGCAAGCGTTGTTTTTCTTTTACGTCGGCAGGCATCTTCATATTGTTAGTATTGAATCCAATATGATCGCTTTGTACATGCCAGAGCAGCCCTAGCGTCTTCTCAGTTTCTTTTCCGCCCAGGCACACGGTCGCGTCGTGTTGTCTATGCTCTGTCGTTATTTCTTCTAATGTTTTTTCTTCGTTCGATGTCCACCCGCTGAGTACGAATCCCGCTTGTTTGTGGACGTGATCGACTGCTTTTACAGTTTGCTGAGCTTCCGTGACAGAGTGGAAGCTCTGCAAGTAGTCGTCCATATAATGGTTTCTTTTTATGGCGACCGCAGCTTCTGGGTACGCTTCTGCATGTTCTTCAGCATTTTTATTTTTGATGTATAATGCTGTGCATGGTGATGATGTCGCTCCAAAGATGATTGACGTCATCCTATATTCCTCCGGTTGGTCCTCCCGCCGCTTGCCTCTCCACAAGAAACGTAAAACGTCTCTATCTTCTTTGCGCACTTTAATCTGCATGAACATTTCTTTTATATCGGCGCTCACTGCATACGGATACTGTCGGAACCTCATGATCACTCCGGGCAGTGATTGTAATAAGTCGGGCCCCGAGTGAAGCATATCGTTGAGACATATTCCAGCTGTCTTCGCTGCGGCGTCGTGTACCAATCTCGGCGGCTTGTTCGGTTTCGCAGGGTTGATGACTGGGAAGTGTGGCAGATACCATGTCCTTCCTTGCGGCGGTGGCATTGGCGCGCGCTCTGCGTAACCCGAGTTGAAGAGGTTCTCGATGCGTTCTTCGTACTGTAGCTTGAGATTGCTGTCTCGGTCGAGCCTCTTCTCTAAGGTGTGCAGGCGCCTTTCCGCTTCTTTATAATTATTTGGTATTTGGAAGTCCTTTTGTTTCCACAACAACCCTGTCTCGAATCTGCCGTCCGCTGACCTCTGGCTGGTTTCGTCCAATATTTGCATGGCTCGCTGCTCGGGATCTTCTTTCGGTCTTCTCGGCTCGATGCACAGCGACTCCAATTTGAAATAATTTTTTATTTCTTCTTCTATCGGTGGTGCATCTTCCCTCTGATGTAGTCTGCCGCAGAAGGTGACCGTCGACGTCAATGAGCTATGACAGCCATGCAGAACCCAGCCCAGGTTGGTGTATGAGGCGACTGGTTGGTCTCGACGGCCGACGCGCAGTTTTCTAGACACTATGAGGTGCCAGTTATCTTGCCCGATTAGTACTTTCGGTGAGGCGCGTTCGTAGGTGATATCCTCTTTGATATCCAACAGATGTGGGCAATTCCCCAAGTGATCTTCATTCACGGATTCTGGCGCGAAGTCCAACCGCTCTACAGTACGCGCTGCTTCTATGTTGTGTTCTTCTTGCGCGTACGTTCCTCTTATTTTAAAGCTGACGATCTTGCTCTTCTCGTGTTTCACCTCCGAGCCGACCCCTTGTATCCACATTGTGTGGGCTGGGCCGTCGGCGCCGATGACGTCGGCGATTGAGGCATCGACTAAGGTGACCGTGCTCCCTTCATCCAATAATGCGTATGTTTCGACGCAGCTTAGCGGCCCCCTTATTGTTACGGGCGCAATCTTTAGGTAAGCGCGGCGGTGCTTGTACGGTCGAGTCGCTGTGTTGACCTCCTTTGCCGATGTTGCGGTTTCCATAGCGGGTTCTTTTTCCATTACTGCTGTTCTGTCGTGATGCAACAATTTATGGTGTTTCATCATGCATCCGCCTTTTCCGCACGGTGGAGCTTTGCACAGTAATCGACGATGTTTGCCTCGCAGACAGCGGTAGCAGATATTGTACTTCTTTGCTACTTCCCATCTGTCATTTGTGGACAGAGCGGCGTATGACTTGCAATCGGGCAGTTTGTGTTCTTGTTTGCATTGAGGGCAGCGTTCTTCATATGGTTTCTTGCTTGTGGCGAAGGCACGTTCTATTTTTCTCGGTCTTCGCTCTCTCGTTTCGCTGTCCTCTGCGATGAACTCCGGCAAGGCATACGCGCTGCATTTATCCGCTTCTTCGTTTAAGAACATTGATATCTTCTTAAGCTCTGGGATATCTTCTTTCTTTCTGGCTGCATAGTCGTACCATTTGCTTTTCAATATGGGCGTGAGTTTGTCTGTGATAACTCGCGTCATTTCTGGACTATGCAGATAGTGTGCTTTCTTGAGTGCTTCCACGGTGCCCACTACGTTCGCTATGCGATTTGCGAATATGCATAGCTCCCTGGGATTGTCCGTAACTTTGTTCAGCAGCTTCAGCTTCTCTATTTCCAAGTGAATTAACGCTTCTGGTCGTCCGAATCTCCTTTCCAAAGCTTCTATTATAATTCTGGGATCTGGTTGGCTTATAAGTAGGCAACCTGCGGCTTCTTTTGCTGTCCCTTTTAAGCTTCGGCGTATTCTCGCTATGTTTTCGTTCGCCGTGAAGTACTTTGAAGATTCTTCGTACATTGTCTTGAAGCTGAGCCACTCCTTGCTGCTACCATTGAATGAGGGCAGCTCTTGTATATATTTCGGCGGCTCCCTTGTGCTTCGTACTGCTTGTGATAGAGCAGCGGCTAAGGTAGCGACGTCGATTTGCTGCTGCGCCTGTCCATAGTCTTCTTTCTGCGGCGCGGTATGTTGCGGAGCGTATTGCGGCGCACACTGTTGAAGTACGGGTGGTGCGATCTGCAGTGCTGGTTGCGGCGCGAAGTACGACGTGGGTTGCGGCGCGGGCTGCGGCGCGGGTTGTGGCGCGGGTTGTGGCGCGGGTTGTGGCGCGGGCTGAGGCGCGGGTTGCGATGTAGGTTTTTCTTGCAACCATGTACTAATGCGCACTGATGCCAAATCGTCTTCTATTTCTTCATCTTCATCGGTTGATCCGGCTTCTGCTTGTAGTCGCTGCACGTGTATTTCTTGCAATTCTGTTCTTGCTTGCAACTGAGCCTGCTCGAGCCTGAGTTCGGCTAACCGCTCTTTCGCCTCTAACTCCGCGAGGAGTCTCTTGCGTGAGGCTACGGAGCGGCGTGACCTAGTCTCGCCGGGCTTCAATGTGCACTGCGATCTTTGATCACCCTCTTGCTGGGTTTCTTCCGTTGCGGTTGTTCTATCGGTTGCCGAGGTAGCGGTCGTATCGCTGACCGTTGTGGTTTCGCTAGTGGTGTTTGTTGAACCACTAGCGGCTGAGTCGCCCCCGGAGGCCTCTTCTGTGGCCCCCTGGGTTGTTTGTTCATCCTTGCGACGCTTCGATGATTCTCCGTTGTTACTACGCGTAATCACCATTTTTCTTCACAATAATATTTTTTCGTTCTTGCGGTTTGCTTCTTTCTTCCGGCAATACCAAGACCGATATTGTCTTTTTCTTCTAGTAATCCGGCTTCTCGAAGGACCATTAATATTACGGATCGCCGTAATGCCGTGCGAAAAATGGAATAAAACGCGCTGGTCTTGCTTTTAACTGGAGGCAAGCGGCGGTGAGGAGGAACTTGTACTTTTTCTTTTCTTGCTGGTGCCTTTTCGGTGGCTGGAGAGCGACTGCTGACCCTAGCGGCCGGCCCGTCTTTTATATGATTTGGCCGCTGCTGGCCAGCGGACCCTTGCCTCACCCCCGCGCCTATCTTTATTTATTTAATAACCTTACAAACTAATAAACATAATTCACTATATAATATTCTTATAACTACTTGTTAGACTAGGGTGTACATATCAATATTTTTACTTATTTACAGGTTTACATTATAATTTTCAGCTGCTTTAGGCGGAGAATCCTTCCCCCCGCCTCAGCACTATAAATATAAAACGTCGTGGCGCGGTGCGCGTGGCTTCATTTGCTCCGCGGCCGCGTCACGATAACATGCTCTTTGGTTACACTACTACTATTATTTTATGTGCCTAACGGCCTAATATATTTATTATATAATAAAGCAAACATTTATTATATTTAACAATTACAGTTTTCATTAGAAGACTATGCTAACTCTCCCTGTTCATACGGTGCCTTTATTTGGGAGAGTTATTGCACAGTTACAACTCAACCTTAAACTTAGTTATAATACAATCATTATTTTTTATCGTTCGATACAAGTAATACAATTATTTACACAAATTATAATTTAAATTCAACATAAGGTTGCGCTAGTCCCGCCGTATAACCCTTGCTAGTTGTCGAACCAGAGGCGTGGCCTGATAATTACACCGTCGTCATGGCTCCGCCCACCGCTCCTAGGTTGTTCAACTAGCGCCGGTTACAATAAGCATTTTCTTTCGTTTGTTTAATATTGTTGCGTCGTGCACAATAATAAATATTAGAACTAAACAACGTTCATATTGGTATAAATAATACCTTTTATCGATCACCTATATTTTATAGTAATAGCTAATGAAAGATGCAAAGTGACTTTTGTAAGTCCCACAGCTAGGTACAGGCCTCCTCTCATTTCAGAGAGAGATATAGATCAAATAGAAAGTAAATGCTCCATGAAAGATATCGTCTAATTAAAATCCAATCTAGTGAACAACATATTATAATGTTAAACGCATTGATAAATATACTGTTATTGCTTCTATGACATTAATTGATCTCATTCTTTGCGGGTAACGATCTTAGCTAGCTGGGAAGATATACTAGGAATATTTATTTATTTATTATACATCTCAATAAAAGGATTACAAAGGGCGAACTTAATGTCTTTTAGCATTTTCTCCCAGTCAACCCGGGGCGTGTGGTAAAGAATGTGATAGGTGCCAAATATAAAATGAACATATTTTATAAATATAGGCTAATACTATATACTCGTATATTAACATAAATACAATAAACTAATATACTATAAAATTCACTACACACACGCGCACGCACGCACGCACGCACTTACGCACGCACGCAAGCACGCACGCACGCACTCACGCATGCACGCACGCACGCACGCACACACACACACACACCACACATTACCAGACTCAGAAACCTACTAATAATTGTTCAAACGTTGGTACCGACTTTGATTTAAATCCAGGGTCCGCGGCTTTATACCAATAGGTTCACACGGTCGTCATAATAATGTGTAATACGGTTAATACTGATGATTGAATTATGCGATGTTCGTGTAAGAGTAGTTTCACAATTTATTAGCACATTTTGTTACAAACGAACGTATTTCCCACGCCAGTTTTGATTGCAGTATCATAGTGGACGATGACATCTGACTACGTACTAATTTAGCTTTACCGGAGCTTGCAACTCAGTACTATCTTTGTGAGAGATAAAAGGTTCGCGTAGCAATGTCACAAGTTAATCCTATTTCTTTGTAGGAAAGTCTATTTTTCAAGCGGTCACAGCGAGTAGGTAATCATGCATCGCTAGCCGCTAAGCATCAAGTAAACAAATCTTCGACACTGTATCTCTCCGCCTTAACTCTCTTTATTCAAAGGAACATTGTCAAGAGAAATGTACGATTATTGTAGCGTTTTCTTATGGATTGCGTTACGATAATATACAACTCGTTGTGCGTTAAGGAGGGTTTCACTATCTGTGATTTCATGTGGTTTATCAATTTGAACACCGCCGTAGACATATTGGTTTTGCTTGTGGACTATGTTTGCGATATGTTATGTTAGATAACGTCGATTTCTTACATGCGCCAATTAATTATTGCAATATTAATGGTAAATAAATCTGATTAAAATCCAGTGTTTTTAGGTGGCGGAAAAGATTGTTGAATATAAGAAATGGTATAAGATATTGTAACATTGAGAAGAGTACAGCAAGCGTCGAATGATGGAGACTTAACAATGTAATAACGCTGTTCAGTCACAGTTTGGTTAACGATCTCTCTCCAGGCCTAAGTGTATCTATCTCCCACTGCAGGATCACAGGCGGGCACGAACCAAAAACATAAATAAAAGTTTATAAACCTTGTAAAAGCAATGGAAGCCAATGTACGTAATTTTTTTTAAATATTGTACTCGGGCTGGTATTAACTTGTATATACATGCTCTAGCAAAGATTTATATGATATAAATCTTTATTAGATCAAAAGCCTAAAATTTGTTTAATTAATTGGGTAAATGAAAGAACTATACTACAAAAAATCTCATGGGGTAATATGAATTAGCAAAGAAAATATTTAAGGAAACAAATATCCTTATACGCAAGCATGCTGATTTCAGATGAAATTTTAATGCATAATCATCATTGCGAGGCTACCGTAAAAAATACTTTCCTCTCTTACATACGAGTACATCTTACGCATTCAGGATACATATTCGGATCGTCATTATTATTTTTTTTACAAAACATCATAAATAGTTTTCGTCTCTATATGCTGTATGGACTACAAATGCAATTTACTATCCGGTTTACTTTATGTGAACAATGTAAAAAAAATAATAATATTGTGCGAACTTTATCGTGTTCAAAAGTTTAACTTGTTTTCAATTCCCGATTAACTCCATTAAGTTAACCATTGCTTTTAGTTAATATGTAGTATTCACGTAAAAATTTGAAATCTTTATGTAATAAACTTACGAAATTTTTATCTTATGTTTGATCACTCACTCTGCACAAGCTCTCGCCGGTTGTATTCAGCTTGTAGCACGCAGGTCTGGTGCCGTTTCATATTTCGGTTGACCAACTGGACGTTGAAACCGGTCGTTTTAACGTCCAGTCGGTCAACCCAAATATGCTCTCTTTGCACTTTCATCATCTCCCATCCGTTCTACATGACCGAGCCACCGTTTGTTGACGCGGCCATGAGTTTATCTATTTCGGAGTTTTTCTAGATCCTTCAGCTGCCATTCTCCCTTTAAACTGGGCCAAACCTATTATGTTTTATAATTTCCCAAAATTCATTTGAAATAAATCTTAATCAATACATTAAAGAAAACGTAGAATTCATACACATAATATAAATTGTCTATATGATTGTAAAAATATTTAACAGCCTTTAATTGGCAATTAAGCTTGAACAAAAAAAATTGTAACATTCGAAGGACATAAAGTTCTCATAGGCTGTGCCTCAAGACCGTCTTCTAAGAGACCTATAAATTATTGCAATCATACAGTCGGTCATCTTTCTTTGTTATTATATCAAAAGACGACATTCCATCGATATAATTATGCAAAAAGCTGGACCGTGGCCGTGGCGGCTACCCTTTGACAGCCGTATCATTATAGTTGACATAAGTTAAGATTTATGTCACTGATTTATTAGAACGTAAATATGAAATAGGCTTGATGTTTGTTTAGACATCACAATGGAAATAAACGGGCAATATTCGTTACTTTTAAATGATAATTTATTTTGAATAACAAGTATTTAAGTTACAATTAAAATTTATGATTCCGTTCTAAAATTATAATTGTACACTAAACTGTTAGTGTATGCTGGAAAATATGCAGCAAGCCTACATTTTTCATCATCATCATACTTATCTTTCACTCCCACTTTATTTAAATTATTGGTATGAAAATTGACGGCTAGGTAACGCAGTGGTGAAGCGTTTGGTTGTAGCGCTGCAACCGTGGGTTCGATTTCCGCACGAACGTAATGGCCTACAAATATTATTGTTCCGAACGTGGATGTGTATCGATGTGGAACTGTATGAATGTACGAAAACATGATGTACTAAAAGCGCATCTAGTATACGAGTACATGAGAAAACCGTAATGCGGAAGTAAAGTCTTTTTAAAAAAAATATAATGTAAAATACGAGTATGATAAAATATATAATATTTTCTTCCCTAATTTATTTCTCACTATTTATTTTATTTTATTGTTTTTTGTACACAGCTTCATTGTTAAAATAGGATATGTAATAAATAAATATTGGAATGTATAAATCACACGTTATAAAAATTATGAAAGAAAATTGCAGTTTGACCGTTATGTTGAACTGGTTATTTTATATGCATTTTCAGTCTTTACAAAAAACTCTCAAAGTAGTATCACTCATTTGTATCTGGGGTTTGTTTACCTTTTCTGCACTCATTACTATTATTTATAACCATGGACTTATTACTATAATTCTTGTAATTGTTGCATATCTTGTAATGTTTTTAAAGAAAAAAAAATTTTGCATATGAGTTTCGACGTCGTATAAAAACGGCACAGCATCTTAAACGGTACGCAATATCAATAGCGTAGCACTACTAACTAACGAGCTGTACGTTATTGGTTCACACGATTTCATTCGGAAAATGTTGACCACATAAATGAATGAGGAGGCCCAGAGAAGATAGTTGAAAATGACGAACCGAAGTCGATAATGGAAGCGAATATGTC